TATATATGATAAAAAATATTAAAGAAATAGAATATAGAGAAAGATAGCGAATTTTATGCATAAAATATTGTGTAATAAAACTATCCTAAGTCTCTTTGAATTTGAACCAATCCCCTCCTATTCGGGATTTAATTTGGGAGTTTCACTAAAACACCCAAAATGGGGGTTGAAATTATAAAAAAACCCAAGCACTACTTAAACATATAAACACACCCAAAACCCATCATTACACACACTCAAAACCCATTTATAAACACACCCAAAAAGTTGACTTTATGGTTGATTTTGGGTGTGTTTCTATGTTTAAATAGTACTTGGGTTTTTTTATAAATACATGTCTAGGATTGAGTTTATTTATAAATTTGTAATTTAATTTTCTATAAGAAGTAGAATCAAATTACCAATTTAATTACATCTTATCCGAAATTTAATCTCAATTAATGCTTTTCCAAATGAGACTGTAACTCTCCCCTCCCCACTCCTATATAATGTACACGCCCAACCACATGCACTTCTCATCGTCCTTCAGCTTGATCATACACTTTTAGTCATTTTTCTCTCGTTTTGGGTTTTGGGTTTTGTGATTTAGGTTTCTGGGTTCACAGAAAAATCGTTTAGAATCAATGGAGATTGATCTGTCACCAAAGTTGGCCAAGAAGGTGTACGGTGGAGATGGTGGGTCCTACTTTGCTTGGTCCCCATCTGAGCTTCCCATGCTCCGTGAAGGTAACATTGGCGCTGCCAAGCTGGCTCTTGAGAAGAATGGGTTTGCTCTCCCAAAGTACTCTGATTCTGCCCAGGTCGCTTATGTCCTCCAAGGTATCGACTTTTTTTTTTCTGTTTTGTTTTGTTATTGCGATTTTTATAGTGCAGAATTCTTGTTGATTGGTTCAGTTTTTCAATTCTGATTTCATTGAATGGATTTGGATTTAAAAAATTTACCCTTTTGGCTTTTGGTGCATTATAACATATATGGATTTTCATGATCTGATTGGTCTTATCTGTTTTCTTGTTTGTTTTGCTTAATTTTTGTAGATCATGAAATTAATGGAGGAGATCATGTGGGTTAAAGTGATTTGGTTGTTTGCTTTGGGAATTATGAAATTCATAGATGAAGATGTTATGATTGCATCTTTTCTTTTAAACTATTCACGCCTTTTTGTACATTATAATATATAGGTGTTTTGAATGATATTGCTTTTTATATCTGGGCTCTCAGCTCTGTTACTTTTTTTTTTCTCATATGTTTAAATTCAACTGGAAACTTCAATAAGGTGAAATTCCAAATTAGCAAATTAATAGGCTAATTGTTATGTTTTGAATTCTGTTTTTGTTTGATTTTAGTTTAACTTTGCTTTTCTTGGGTTCCTTTAGGTACTGGTGTAGTTGGGATTGTCCTCCCTGAGAAGGAGGAGAAGGTTCTTCCAGTTAAGAAGGGCGATGCTATTGCCCTCCCATTTGGAGTTGTTACTTGGTGGTACAACAAGGAGGACACTGAGTTTGTAGTCCTTTTCTTGGGTGATACTTCAAAAGCCCACAAGAGGGGTGAGTTTACTGACTTTTATTTGAATGGCTCCAATGGCATTTTCACTGGCTTCTCAACTGAGTTTGTGGGTCGAGCATGGGATTTGGAGGAGGATGTTGTGAAGACCCTTGTTAGCAAGCAATCTGCCAAGGGCATAGTTAAGGTTAGTGGAGCTAACTTGCCTGAACCAAAGAAGGAACACCGAGATGGCATGACATTGAACTGTGAAGAGGCTCCTCTGGACGTTGACATTAAGAATGGTGGAAGAGTTGTTGTGCTGAACACTAAAAACCTTCCTTTGGTTGGTGAGGTTGGGCTTGGTGCTGACCTTGTTAGGTTGGATGGAAGTGCTATGTGCTCCCCTGGATTTTCTTGTGACTCTGCCCTGCAGGTGACTTATATTGTTAGGGGCAGTGGCCGTGTCCAAGTTGTTGGAGTCGATGGTAAGAGGGTCTTGGAAACAACCATCAAAGCTGGTAATTTGTTCATCGTTCCAAGGTTCTTTGTTGTTTCAAAGATAGCTGATCCCGAAGGCTTGGAATGGTTTTCTATCATCACTACTCCCAAGTAAGTATTTTGTTCTTTACATTATCAGATATTCTTAGTGTTTCTTATATGTCTGCAATGTGCTTTTCTCTTCCCTGATTTTGATTTCATTGTTCTTGATTTACGCTCTGCTTGTTAACTTTTTCTTCATCTACATTTATTAGCTCCTCTAAAACCTTCTTAAAACCCTTTTTAGTGTTGAGCCGCACCTTGCTTGATTTTTAATTTTTCCATTCTTGTGAGGTTTCCTTAATATTCAATTGTTTCTGTATCAAAAACTGATCTTTTGGGGCAAATGTGGTCCTTGTGTTTTTTTACCAAAGTTTTTCAAAACTTGGTGTTCAACAATTTGCTGATTCATTTGTTTTCTGTGCTGCAGTCCCATATTCACCCACTTGGCTGGAAGCATTGGTGTTTGGAAGGCTTTGTCTCCTCAGGTGCTTGAGGCTGCCTTCAATGTGGATTCGGCTACAGAGAAACTTTTCCGATCGAAGAGGACTTCTGATGCAATCTTCTTCCCCCCACCCAATTAAGCTCAGTATAGAAACTTTTCCAGTCGAAGAGTACTTCTGATGCAATTTTCTTGTTTATGTTTGCTAGTTTCTTGATCCTAATAATTTAATTAGTCTGGATTTGCTTTGGGGATGTAATTAAATTTTAGACTTCTATTATATGTGATGAGTTTTGTGGTTTCCTCAATATTATTGATCTCACTCGGAATGTTGCCCCAAAGTATACAATATCAATATCGAATGATTAAATAATATGAGATATGAAAGAAGATAATTACAGGGTTTAGTGAATTTAGGTGGATGTAAAGAGTTTGGTGGATACAACAAGATTACTTTTTTTCTTCTTGTTTTAGGTCTCTTTTTGCAAAAGGATAAACTTATCATGAATAAAAGCACTCAAAATAAAAGTAAAAAAGTTAGAGATTAGCCATATCATACTACTTGGACATCATTTGAACTTGTTAAATCTGGTCATCCTTTTTTTTTATTTTTTATTTTTTGGAAATATAGAATTTGAATTTATCCCATATGCAATTAACTATTGCACTACGTTGAACTAATCTGCTTTCATCCCGTACTTCAAGAGATTATCCATTATTAGTCACATCCTATCCTATCCTAATTTTAATCCAAATTGTTGTTAATCCTTTTACTAACTCTTCTATTATCTCTCTAACACATGGCTATCCTGATAGCCATTCTCACTCCTATATATGCACACCCAAATACACCTTCTTTTCATTCACTCAAGCACAGCTTGGGCATATAATTCACTATTTTCTCGTTTTGGGTTTTGGGTTTTCTGGGTTGAGACTTAAAAATCGTCAAGAATGGAGATTGATCTTTCACCCAAGTTGCCCAAGAAGGTGCACGGTGGAGATGGTGGGTCCTACTTTTCTTGGTGCCCGTCTGAACTTCCCATGCTCCGTGAAGGTAACATTGGCGCTGCCAAGCTGGCCCTTGAGAAGAACGGGTTTGCTCTCCCTCAATACTGCGATTCTGCCAAGGTCGCTTACGTCCTTCAAGGTATAATTTTGTTTTCGTTTCATGATCGGCTTGATCGTATTTATTTTTCTTGTTTGGTTGCTCATTTATTTCTGTGGGTCATGGAATTCGTAGATGAAAAGTGATTTTAACTTTAACATCAAAGAAGATCTTGAAATTGTTTCATGAATAATGATTAACTTTAAAATTAAATGAGATCACGTTTGTTTAATGTGGTATAATTGCATATTTTATTTTCTGGGATTTGTCATTATTATTATTATACCATATAGAATTTTGATGCCATTCAACTTTTTTTATTTTATTGTAATGCCCTTGTTGAAATCAATTTAGCACCTACTCTGTTATTATGAGACCTTAGGAGCTTGTGGTAATTGTTATGTTTGAACTTTGTTTTCTTGTTTTACTATAGGTAATGGTGTAGTTGGAATTGTGCTTCCTGAGAAGGAAGAGAAGATTCTTCCAGTGAAGAAGGGTGATGCCATTGCCCTCCCTTTTGGAGTTGTTACTTGGTGGTACAACAAGGAGGACACTGAATTTGTAGTTCTTTTCTTGGGTGACACTTCAAAAGCACACAAGAGGGGTGAGTTCACTTCCTTCTATCTTAATGGCTCCAATGGCATTTTCACTGGCTTCTCAACCGAGTTTGTGGGTCGAGCATGGGATTTGGAGGAGAGCATTGTCAAGACTCTCGTTGGAAAGCAATCCGGTAAGGGCATAGTCAAGCTTAGTGGAGTTAACTTACCTGAGCCAAAGAAGGAACACCGAGATGGTATGACATTGAACTGTGAAGAGGCTCCTCTGGATGTTAACATTAAGAATGGTGGAAGAGTTGTTGTTTTGAACACTAAAAACCTTCCTTTGGTTGGTGAGGTTGGACTTGGTGCTGACCTTGTTAGATTGGATGGAAGCGCTATGTGCTCCCCTGGATTTTCTTGTGACTCCGCCCTGCAGGTGACTTATATTGTTAGGGGCAGTGGCCGTGTCCAAGTTGTTGGAGTTGACGGTAAGAGGGTCTTGGAAACAACCATCAAAGCTGGTAATTTGTTCATCGTTCCTAGGTACTTCGTTGTTTCGAAGATTGCTGATCCAGATGGCTTGGAATGGTTTTCTATCATCACTACTCCCAAGTAAGTATTTGTTTCTTTACATTATCAGATGTTCTTAGTGTGTCTTGTATGTCTGCAATCTGCTTTTCTTCCATGTTTTATTGAAGCATACTCTTGCTGCTTGGAACACACACATGTAAATTTATTCCCACCACACACAGAAGGCATAATTCAGAAATATTTGGCACTTTCTTAAAAACTTTTTAGTGTAGATCTATGCTAAGTATAAAGAGTTACAACTTGGTGTTTAACATGTTGCTAACGCATATTTTGCTGCAGTCCCATATTCACCCACTTGGCTGGAAGCATTGGTTGTTGGAAGGCTTTATCTCCTCAGGTGCTCCAGGCTGCCTTCAATGTGGATGCAGATACAGAAAAACTATTCCGGTCGAAGAGGACTGCTGATGCTATCTTCTTCCCTCCACCAAAGTGAACTAGTTTAGCTTATATCTAGTTTCATGGTCCAAATAAAGGGGTTTTGCAGTTAGGGATTTCTTTGGCTTTGTTTTAAAACCCTCTTCTAGGGAGATGTCATGTTAGCTATTATGGTTTAATTTTGGAACTTTCATAAATGTTAAGGGCCCGTCTGGTAACGTTTTCGGAGAATGTTTTCTGAGAATATTTTCAGAGAATGAAAATAAGAAAACAAATTTGCATTTTCAGGAAATAAAAATGCGTCTGGTAGATTAATTAGAAAACATCTTTAGAAAACAAAAACAATGAAAACGTGTCTGGTAGTACAATTGTTTTTCAGGTGTATTTTTGCTAATTTCAGTTCTAATTTTTTTTAATTCTGATATTTTTAGAGGCTAAAATTATTATAAACAATGAAAAAAATTTAAGCTCAAAAACTATCTTATCTCCTTTTTTTTTTCTTCTTTTTCTCATTTTCTCTCTTTCCTCCTTTTTTCTTCTTCTTTTCCTTCGCATGGCTGCTTCTTTTTTCTCTTTTTCTTCCTTTTTCCTACTTTCTTCCCATTTTCTTCTTCCTTTCCTTCCCCATGCCGTTTCTTTTTACTCCTTTTCTTCCTCTTTTCTTCTTCCTTTCTTCCCAGGCCACACCCACTCCTCCTTCCTTCCATGGCATGAATCCCATACACCCACCCATCTCTCTCTCTCTCTCTCTCTCTCTCGATCCACTAATTAATGGTTGTGATGGTTTGATTGGGTGATGATGGTGGTTGAGTTGGGTATGTGGTGGTTCTTCTTCTTGTCTCTGTTTTTTTTTCTTCTTCTTCCTCTGTATTTTTTTTTCTTAATTTGCAGATTTGTTTATTTTGGGTTGGAGAAGATGGGTGTTGTTCCTGTTGGTGGGTTTATTGGTTGTCAAGAGAGAGAGCTAGAGTTGTTGATGGGATGCATTCTTGTGTCTTCGGAAAACATTGAAAATGAAATTACTGAAAACAACTTTTTTTCATTTTCAACTTTTGTTCACAAAGTCAGATTTGTTTTCAGAAAACGTTTTGTGAGGGAAAACGAAAACGATGCACCGAACGTGTTTTTGTGAAAAACAGGAAACAAAAACAGAAAACAGGCTCTAAAAACATTACCGAACGAGCCCTAATAGTAGTGGCTTTTGGACCTGCCATATTGCTTATAAAATCAATAACAATTTCGTACTCTTTAATTGAAGATGATTTAGCTGCATATGTGCTTTGCATGCTAGAATTCTTGAACTTGCTTGAGATGGCTTTTGGGTGTCAAAGAGCTAAATTTGTGGCTTTAGCCCACTATTGGAGATGACTTAAGTTTTCCCCAAAGGCCCCAACCTCCCATCTGGATCGATCCCTTCAGCCTTTTGTGTGCAGGGAGGCTAGAATAAGCGGGTTTTTGTGAGCTTTTATAATGAGGGGGGTCCTTAATAGCCATTCGATCTAGTGCAGAGTTATTATTGGAATGTTAGATTGAACTCTCTCACTGTAACTCCTTAACATAGACCCTCATTATAGAAGCTCCCTTCATGTTGATATACCCCGGCCTTGCCCATAAGTTATGGGCCATAACAACCTCCTCAGCTCCCCGAGTCTCGCCCTAATGTTGCCAATCATTTATTGTTTATTAAAATAAATAATCATGTTTTTATTATTATTAAACTTACTTTTGAATTTCTTAAATAATTTTTAATTTATTTTTGGGCTAAATAATTTTTTGATCACTGGCTTACATGAAAATTCAATTTGGTCATTGAGAAATTGTTTTAGCCAAATTGGTCAATTTGTTTTCAATTTATAGGCATTCCGTAATCTTCCATTACGTGTAGTTTTTATTTATTTATTATTTACGAAGCACATGCAATTTTCTTCCTCTAATTCAATGAGATATGTTATATTGTGCTCTTAGGGTAAAAAAAAAATTGAGTTGAAATCGAAATTGTGAGGTATAAAGAAAATAAAAAAGCCAAACCAAATTCAAATGAAACCAACAACTTGGCAATATATTTTGGTGTTTAACCACCTTGATTATGTCTCCTTGCATCCAAAATCACAATACGTTTCTCATTCAATCGATTCAAGCTTTAATATAGCATCCAATAAGTGACCTTATACCTTGCAATTTTGATTTCAACCCAAGATTTCACTCAATTTACCATAATAACACAAAATATCCTAACTCATTGTGTTAGAGGAAGAAAACTGAACGTGCTTCCTTAAAAAAACCAAAAAAACCAAAAAACAAAAAACAAAAAACAAAAACTGAACTTAACAGAAGATAGCGGAATATCTATAAATTGTATGCTTTGGGAAACATAATAACCAATTTGGCTAAATTTTTTTCACCAAATTATATTAATCCATTGACCAAAAAGATATTTAACCCTTTATTTTTTTGGAATATTTTAATTGCTTTTAATAACAAATTGTAAAGGGTTAATTTCGATTTAGTATCTTGAACTCTTACCTTCACTCTCATTTTTAAAGATTACATAACCTATGGTTTTCAATTTTTTGCAATATGGTTTTGGCTTTAACTTTGACATCAAAATTTCAGTTAATTGCTAGCATGGCAGACATGAGTCTCACCTATTCACTTATTTCAATGTCAGTTGAAGGGTATTTTCAGGTAATTGGTGTCTTCCAACCCATGAAGAACATATTACACGCATTAATACTGAACCATTTTTTAATAGAATACCCTTCAACTGACATTAGAAGAAGTGAATAGGTGGGACCCAAGCTTGTCACACAAGCAATTAATGGAAATTTTGACAATGAAGTTAACGCCGGAACCAGATTGCACAAAATTGAAAAGTTTAGGGTATGTAATTGTTAAAATTGAGAGAGTAGGGGCAAACGTACCTTAGAGCCCCTTTTGGTTCATGGGAAAGTAAGCTTGGGGATGAGAAATCAATTGCTTTATCATGTTTGGTAAGTTCAGGCATGGGAAATCGTTGCCTTATACATAGAAAAGTAGGGGGAAAGTGAAGCCCTCCTCCCACTTTGGGTTTTGTTTTCCTCATCATGGGAAATGTTGTGAAAATGAGCCAACATTAAATACACCTTTTTATGACCATATTGTCCCCATTAACAGTTTAGAATTATAATATAGCATTAAATGCATTCTTTTTCTTTTTAAAAAAAAAATTAATTTTATATGGGTATAATTGAAAAATTAAACAAACTTTGTTTTACATTCATATACAAACCAAACATGTGAAAGGAAATAAAATGATATTTATTGGTTACTTTCTCAAGATTACCAAACATAGGAAATGAATCTCCATTTCCCAACCCTTGAGAAATGAAATGGGAAGTGATTTCCCTCAAATCCGTTTCGTGAGCCAAACGGGGCCTAAATGTAAGAGTTTAGGGTACTAAATTGAAATTAACCCAACTGTAAATTACTGTGACCAAATGGACTACAATTTTTCTCAGTGATGAAATTTCATACAAAATTCGATAACAAAAAAGGTTTTTAACCCAAAAAAAAAAGTAGTAATATAATTAATAAAAAAAAGAGCTTTTTTTTTTTTGGCGCGATTAGCAATAGTAGAATGAAGAAAAGTAAACTAATGCTAGAAAAGAAAAGGCTTATTTACTGTTTCACCCATTGAAACGGATAGTCGGTCTCACTATACCCTCTTAAACTAAAATTTTCTCACTTAACCCCCTGAATCTCTAAAAATTCCTGAAATTTTCTCACTTTACCACTTCCGTCCATTTCTATCCACAAAACTGTTAAGTGTGCTGACGTGGCATGAGTATTCTAGTACTTTTAGCTCCTTATCTTCTCTCTGCTCTCTCCCTCTATACCTCTGCCCTCCCTTCTCTCTCATCCCGAACCTAACCTCCATTGCATCCCACTCCTCCTCCCTCTTCTCTCTTCTATTTTCTCTCTACCTTTCTCTTCTCTCCCCTCCCGTCCCTAGACCCAACCCATCCCCCAACGAACCTCCATAGCATCCCAACTCCTCCCTCTGCATCTCTCTTTTCTCACGTCCATCGCACCCTACCCTATCCTTCATCTTTTTTCTTCTATATGTCTCTCACTCTCACTATCTTTGTCAAGAGAGAAGATGCGGAGTGACTGTCGAGGAGATTTTTAAAAAAAAATTTGAGTAGTGGTGGTTTGGATGTGTTGAGTAATTCCATGGAGAGTTACATTTAGGGTGGGGGTTGGGTATGACGAGGAGAGGGGAGAGAATAGAGAGACATATAGGAGAAAGAGACAGAGAGGAGAGAATAGTGAAGAGGGATGAGGGGACGGGGTGGGGGTGGGGTTGGGGTGCGATGGAGGTTAGGTCTGGGAAGGGAGAGAAGAGAAAGGCAGATGGAGAGAGAGAAGATGAGGAGCTAAAATTACTAGAATGTCCATGTCATATCAGCACACTTAACGGTTTTGTGGATGAAAATGGATGGAAGTGGCAAAGTGAAAAAAATTCAGCAATTTTTTAGAAATTCAGGGGATTAAGTGAGATAATTTCACTTAAAGAAGGTAAAGTGAAACCGAATGTCCATTTTAAGGGGTGAAACAATAAATAAGCCTAAAGAAAATGAAAAATGAGTTCTTTGCGACTCGGAACTGAAATAAACAGGAAAGGTCATGAGGAAGTGATGGTTGAGGGGGACTCAAGTGTTTTCGAGGAAACCCGTTCGAGGTCTGAGAGCTTCCTTCCTTCTCAACTCACGTTCATTCAAGTTTGAATATCGGCTGAGACTCTGAGATGCTGAAGATGATGACGGCAACTGCATCTTCTTATGGCAGCAGAAGTGTGCCTTCTCTTCACTCTACTGTTGTTTTTCTCTTCAACGATTACTCAACCTTGTTTCATTCTCAACCCTCAAATTCGAAGCCAAATAAATCTAGAAACACCCATCCAAAGCAGTTCGGTGTGAGATACCCAACCACAGTCACAAATCTTGAGCATACTTTCAGTGTGTTCGATGAAATGCTTCGCAAACGTCCTTTGCCTTTGGTTTTCCGTTTCAATCAAATCTTGGGACAAGTTGAGAAGTTGAAACATCACTCGGCCGTCATCTCTATGTATAACCAAATGGGTGTGTCGGGAGTTGGACCTAGTGTTTGTACTCTAACTATTGTCATTAATTACTATTGTCATCTCAACCAAATGGGGTTTAGTTTTTCTGTCTTGGGACAACTCTTTAAATCTTGGTTTGAACCAAGTGTCTATACCTTCAACATTCTAATCAACGGCTCTCTTA